AAGCCTTAGTTGGATTGGAGCTGAAAAGCTTGGCATTAAATACTTGTAGCATAAAAAAGCTTGACCCACCATATATAATAAATTGACCAATAGAAAAAGGATAAAGATAAAAGACAAAAGTGAAAAAGAAAATGATACTTAACATACATTAATCTTTCTTCTTCATTAAATAAACCTTTCTGTTGATTATCTGGCACTCACATTCTTCTCTCATTTTGACCTGATTCTAATAAATGTAACATAGCAAGAAAGCACATGTTCCCACACCAAATCAATGGCTACAAGCCCTTAACTGAAGAAAGGAATAAATTTATCACGAGGAGGAGGAGGAATACATGGACGTCGGTGCTGGAATCTTTTGCTATAGCCTTTGGCGTTTTCCTTTGTATGTTTATCAGAACAAAATACCCTTTCCTATTTGCAATACAAAACCACCTAATTAGCTTAGCAAAATTGAAGTTTCTATGGTCAATTTGAATACCCAAAAACTTTACTACTATTTTTATTTACTGAGCTACGACTTGGGACTTTTGCTTTGTATTATCTGAGTGGTGCTTTTCAAGTAGCACTCCAATTGGCATGCCACCACTTTGCCACTTTTCTATGTACTTTGTATCTTTCACGCGTTATTAGGCTTTCCAGAGAGCGGTATTCTAAAGTATATATTGTATGACCACTTCTAATTTTGTTATTTGATCTGACATCACTTTGCTCAATTCAGTGAAATTTAGTGCAGTGAGATCTGCTTATAAAGGAATTTTAATGGTATTATGTAGAATTCTGATGCAGATGACAAATAATCATAATCCAAGAGTTAGGCCATAGCATCAACCTTGACTTTCTAGTAGAAAAGTTATAGCCAATATGTATTAAGCAAAGAAACAGTTGTATATGAAATTTCACTGGAAAATATTTTATTGTAATAAATTATATTTAGTAAATGCGTGATGCACAAGTTTATGAATTTCATATGATAGTTTATTAAATATATTTAATCCTTAAGATTGAGTTTAAATATTTAAAAGTAAATTTTTACTAGAAAATAACACATTTTATTGTGAATAAATATTAAATATTATTGTGTTATATATAACAACCTTAAAAGATAAATAAAAAGGGGTGAGAAAGTACACTATTATTATGAATAAAGTGTGTTCGTTAAAAAATAAAATTAATTAATAAAATGAAAAAAATGGTACATGTCAATTCATGATTCAATTATTTGAGAATTGATTTTGAGAGTGATAGGGTTAAACACATAAACGTATCATATTTTGGAGAGAAATTTAATTTGAGGTCCAAATTTAGTTTCTAAGTGATATTCAAACAATTATTTAAGGTCTGAATTATTTTCTTCTATAAATACGTTTCCCTACGTCAACCACATTGTCGTCTTCTCTCGTCCTAACTCGACAAGACAACCTCAAAAGTCATCATTTTTCTGTTTCTTTTATTTCTTTAGTTTATCTTTTCTTTTAAAAATTTAACATTAATTGATGAATTAAATTTAAAACTAAAACTATATTTCCTTTTAGAAGAACTAAAGTTAAGATTTACAAAAATATTAAAATAAAACATATTTAAACTAATTTATTAATTTACATGTATAATCAATCTCAAACAATACAAAATGGATCGAAGTCGGTGCTGATTGTTGACAAAACGAAGTAACAGAAGAAACATGGCATTAATTCAACCAAGTAAAAAAAAACCTTTCTTTTATTTTCTTTCCTTGTTTTATGCTTCTTTTTTTTTTCTTCCTTCCAATCTGTTGCTTCTTCTTCTTCTATTGTTAATATAAAATTAGAATGGAAACAGCATGTTTTGAGGAACAAAAGCAAAATGTACGGAGATGGAAGAACAAAATAATAATAATAGAAAAAGCCACATCTGCATCACAAACCTCAAGAAGAAAGAAAATATTTGTTAAAGGGAAGTGGTGAGTTCATAGATGTCAGTGAAGGGTGACATGGGCACCATAGCATGCAGCACCGTCAGGGACACCATTAATTAACAAATGCAGGAACGTGACTACGTGAATGCACCCTTAAGCCTTATCCTCGTTTATGCTATTATTACCCATTTGGTATTGTTCTTAGTGCTGCAGTTGAGTCCACCCACGACACTTGTGTTCATTTTTGTTTCCCATTTTTGGAATATAATAATATGTAAGAAAAAATCTTATCACACTTGTGTAAGAGTTTTAATCTCAGTCTTTTATTTAACATAATATTCAGTAAAATAATAAATTATAATTTATTATATATAAATTAAATAAAATATTTAGATTAAATATATATATATATATATATATATATATATATATAGTTAGTTAGTTAGTTTAATACTTTTTCTTTCATCAACTCATTTGTATCCATTTTTACGAAGCGATTTCATGATATAATGAGTTACCATTTCCTAATTGTTTCAATGATAAGGATTGTTATTTGATTGAATAACTATAGTTGATTAAGCATATTAAATTTTAAATAATAATTTATAAAGTTTATTTTTTTTAAATAGGGATTATTTACATACCTAATTTAAAAATAATATGCGACGTATGAAAATTTTGTTAAACCAAGTTCACCACTTCTTCGATCTAATGAACATTAATAAGCTTCCAGTGTCGGCAGTGAACTGAGTTTGAAACTTTGAGTTTGTGTCAAGTGTCAACTTTTGCGGGCACGCCATTCCTTAGATCCAATCTAGTTTTGGCTTCTAATGACTGATTTTTATTTATTTATTGATATGCTTTATGATTTCCAAACCCCACTTGTCTAATTTCTCTAGACTATGTTCTTTTCACATCTCTTACCTTACTAGCAAATTTTGTCTAACTTATCATAAAAAAAATATATAATATAATTAAGATGTGAATTAATGTGAAAAAAAAAAGCTAAACATTTTCTACATCCATCATAATGAAGGTATTCTTTAAAAAATAGTCAGATGGTTGTTATCATGACAAAGCATGAAGCAAGGCTATGTTTTGTGAAAACTAATAATGATCCTAGCTAGCTCTAGGAAATTAACATGTAACGTATGTATGTTCCTTGTGGTCTCCGCTAGTTACTTATTATATATTCACATATTAATAATGATTTAGATCCCAATAGGATATCCAACTTTGTTATTAACCCTTGCTTGGTGAACATGCCATTAACCCACAGTTTCAAAAAGTTGTATATATTTCGTAGCTTATAAAATGAGCAAGCAAGATATACTTGATAGCAAAAGGTTCATTGAGCCTTAAAAGATGTTTTGCCATAATTGAGTGATATCATTGTCCAAATGTGAAGAAATCATCCAACTTAATTGGTAAAATATAAATAAATATAAGGACACATTCACACTTTTTTATTATTAAGAAAACTTAGAGAAACATATGGGGGGAAGTGAACAATATTCCTCAACAATGACCTTTTATTTACAAAAGCAACATACTATTGAATATATATATATATTTTAATGTCTGTGTATATTATACTCACACTTACATCATAAATAATTTTATCTAAAATATAATGTTTGTGAATCCGATGTTAATATCCAATCAAGCTCTGATATGGCTGATAAAATCACTTACCTTTCAATGACATTGATTTGTAGAGAGATAAAAGAGAAGGTGGAAAGGGCATGGCTGTTTTAGCCAATGGGAAATAATGAAAGAATGTACATTAATTATATATAATGCTGTCATAAAAATCACGAGCTTAACATAAAAGTTATGCATGAAAGATACTACTACTGAGTGCATAGGTTGGAGTGAGACATTAGTGATCGTGCATGCAGAAAAACAGCCATTAGTACGGCATTCAAATATGCTTCATTCTTTTCTCATAAAATATGAACCACTCTATCAGTTCGTACAATCAGAAGAGTCAAGACTTTCTATTTGCACATAGGAAGTAACCATAAAGGAGGTGGCACTATAAATATCAAAGGTGATTAATTTTTTTATCGATGCCCTTTTAGGAAGTAAAACGTGAAACAAAAGAAATGAAGAAAGAATTTAAAAAGAAAATAAATGTAAATTAAAAAATGTAAGAAGTAATGTGTTAAAAAAAATTATATTTTTAAGTACTGTTTCTTCGATATTAATAAATAATATAATAATATTTTCATTCAATAAAATACATTTAAATTTTATCTAATAAAAATAAAACAACAAAATATTTTAATGTATAAATACATGTTAATCATTGAATGTAATTTATTAAATATTTAAATAATTATAAAAGTATATTTTTATGAAGTCATATAATAAAATTTTATTAAAAATAATAAAATATTTCATAATTTAATACATTGTTGACATTAAATGTTATAATTTTAATAAAAATAAATTATTTTTTTTATTTTTTTAACATTTAGGACAAATGTTAGAAAAAGTTTTTTTATCTGTCACCATTTTAAAAATACCTTTTTTCCCCTTTATCTGTCACTTTATATATTAAAAAAACAATTACTTCTTTTTCTATTGCATCATATAATTTATTAATTTCTAATTATTTTATATATTTACCATAAGATGAATATTTTTTTATTATAAATTTTAAATTTATGAAACCAAATAAACAATTGATTCATAACTTATCCATAAAATATATTTTTTAATATTAAGATTTAATGATTAAAATTAATAAATAAAAATTAATTAATTAAAGAAAAAAATATTAGCTAAGTTTTTAAAATTGTGTAAAATAAATTTAAATAAAATATAAAAAAAATCGACATTAAATACTTCTTATAGTTTTAAAATAATAAATATTCTATTTTCAATATTTTTTAAATTATGCCTTTAGCCCACAGTAAAAGAAAATTATATTTTAAATGTTATAATTCATATTTCTTATTCTGACAACCATAAATATATTTTTGGTATTCGCAGGGGAAAGTGCTAAAGGACGCAGTTTTGGGGGTCAACACGGAATAATTACATTGCAATTATCCAATCCAATTAATAGTTATGTTCACATTACTGTCTTTTTGTTTTTGGGTTGAAGAAAATAGTAGGATTGGTTACACGGTAACTTCAAATTTTGTTTGTTTGAAGAGTTCTGAAAGAAGGTGGAAGGAAGTTGAAGAAAAACACGGGACAGCGAGGCACATGGCGAGCAAATAGTTATATAAATGGTTCTGCTTTGTTTAGTTTAGCCTCACACCCAAATCTGACTTATTGGATGGTCCCTTCAACCTCGGCCTTTCACTTTCTCTTCCTCTTCCACTCACATTCACATTCACATTCCATGCCAGTGTTTTAGGCAACATCCATTTTATCTCTTCATCTTCTTTCAACTAGACAGAGAGCCAGAACCAGAGTCAGAGAAAAACAGAACAGAGTAAAAGGGTAAAATACCTAACACCATCTCATTCTATTTTTGTCTTTCTTTCTTTATCTCTTATATCATCTGATGCACTTGCTCTCCCTCTCTCTATCTTCTGTCCTCGTCTAGATCTCTTTGGATTTTAATGTCATACTCTGTTTCCTCTTTTTTTTTTTTTTTTTGGTTTCTGTTTGTTATCTTTGGATTTGAATCTCACACACCGTGTGTTATTTTTCAAGTTATTTACTTTTTCTCATTTTATAATCATACTCGAGATGGGGGTTCCAAGATTGTAGAAAAAAATTCCTTTTTTAAACTGAATTATCTTCTATTCTATGCTTTCTTCAGCTGAGAAATGAGAAAAGGTGTGGTTCTGTGTTGGATGGTTTTGTGTTTGCTTTTTTCCATTGGTGGTGGTAACTTTGGAACAAAACATAGTGGTTCAGGAATAACTGACAAATGCATGATGAGAGCTTTTCGTACATGTGAAGAAATGTTCTCATTGATCCCTTTTCCTATTGCGTGTATGGGACAATGACACAGCATGGTGTGAGATCCAGCGCTTCCTTATGTCCCTTTTTGTGTCAGTGAAGGGTTGCAAGGGGTCCTCACTAGGTATGCTGTAACCGATTTTTGTTGGGCCCCAACGTCATGTGAACATCTTAAAGGGAATGTGACATGGAATGGAAAGTAACTAGTGTCGGTAGTAGTATCAGATTTCATGTATTTACACACTTTAAGTTACCCCATGTCCTTTTAATGGTCGGTGACCATGGAGTATTGACCAGCTGGAATTAATCATCAACCTCTTTTTCCTCTTTGCCATTTATTTTATTTAACAAAATTAGATCTGTCATGCCAATTTGTGTCTTGCTTCTCAGGCCAGGTTGATCTGTGTTTTTGGTCGGGGGTGTTAGTTTTCAGTATTGTTATGTGTGTTATAGTTGCAGTTAATCAGTCTTTGTTTTCTTGGTTATTGAATGGTTCATGTTGCTTTTGTCAGTGGTCTGATCTGAATTGTTGTGGCCTTATCCTTATTTGGCTTCTCTAGTTAGATGGGGGAACTTGAACTTGGAGGGTATGCAATTCAGATCAAGTGGTTGTATCAAATTGAGTAAGGTCATAATTCTAAATCCTCCTAATTTCTAATTGAAAAAACTATTAAATGTTTTTTATGTTTTCAAGATAATAAAGGTATGATTTTTTCATTTAATACTTACTTTATAAAGGAGTAGGAGAATTATTAAGAGAATGTGTAAGAGGATATAGCAATGCTCTAATTCTAGACGTGGGTTCTTTATTTGATTTCTTATTATAGGGGTGACTAAAGTTACCAAGTGTCCTTTCTTCCTCGAGTGACTGATTACCTATAATTGAAGAATGATGGTTCCTGATACTTTGTCTTTAAATTGAAAAAAAAATGTATATATGAGTAGGTAGTGGAAGTGGCATAGTCACATTGCACTGAAAGTTGTGTTTTGCATTTGTGCAGATAATTAATTAGTGGAATATTGCTTGGATCATGAAGCATAAAGATGGAAAACCGATCAACCAGCCAAACAAGAACAGATCTTTGACTTTGGCAATAACGTTTATTGCTCTATGTGGTTTTTCTTTCTATCTGGGAGGAATCTTTTGTTCTGGGAAGGATGGAGTTGTTGTCAATACCATTCAGAAGACCGTTGATTCTCCCAAGCAATCCTCAGGTTCTTTGCAAATTAAGCCCATCAGTTTCCCCGAATGCGGCATGGACTATCAAGACTACACACCATGCACAGATCCAAAGGTATTAAATAGTAATCCTTTTATTGATGTTGAAAGATATGTAGAAGAAAGTTTTGTTGTTGATTGAGCATGCATAATTTTACAGAGATGGAGAAAGTACGGCACGTATCGGCTTACTTTGTTGGAACGCCATTGCCCTCCAATTTTTGAGAGGAAAGAATGCTTAGTTCCTCCCCCTGATGGATACAAGCCTCCAATCAGATGGCCAAAGAGTAGAGATGAATGTTGGTACAGGTATAGTATATTATATGATATTCTTTACAAGTTAAATAACATAAGGTTGGATTAATTTAAGTAGCCTGCAATTGCTATATATGTTGTCCACTTTTATCAACTTTTATGTTATATTAATTTCAGGAATGTTCCATATGATTGGATTAACACACAGAAGTCTAATCAGCATTGGTTGAAAAAGGAAGGGGAAAAATTCCTATTTCCAGGTGGTGGTACTATGTTTCCTAATGGTGTTGGTGAATATGTTGATTTAATGCAAGATCTGATCCCAGGAATTAAAAATGGGATGGTGAGAACTGCCATTGATACTGGCTGTGGGGTGAGTTTTACTCATAGCTTCATCTTTTTTAGGATTGTTAGCTGATGGCAATGCTAATTGCAATTCTCAGCACACTCCTTAAACATCAATTACTAGTTTGCCTATACCTATTGTTTTACAGCTTCCATGTGAGCATATTTTAACATTACTAATTTAAATCATGTGACGGACTAAGGAGTTGCATTGATTAATCCATGTAATTATGATTTGTTATAGGTTGCTAGTTGGGGTGGTGACTTGTTGGATCGTGGGGTTCTAACTGTTTCTCTTGCCCCAAGAGATAACCATGAAGCTCAGGTTCAATTTGCTCTGGAGCGTGGTATCCCAGCCATTCTCGGCGTCATTTCTACACAAAGACTTCCTTTCCCATCAAACTCCTTTGATATGGCTCATTGCTCCAGATGCCTTATCCCATGGACAGAATTTGGTAATTCTTCAATAGATTTTGGATTTTGTCAATTGAACAGAATTTATTCGTGTATGTGCTAATTTTCATGAACTTTACCGGCTTTAAGCTATTTAAACTTTGTGCTTCACATATCTGTTGTAAATGGATATTCTTTCTAATCAGTCCTATCACAAATTTTCATCAGAATCTAATTTTGTCAGATCTTGCTCTTCAATTTTTTAGTACTTTGCTTTTAATTAATGTAAAGCCAGCACTTTTTATGATAATATTCCCCTGGCCTGATAGTGATAAATGATCATTGATATAATGAAATACAATTTTCCCTTGATTCTGTAATGCTGTAACTAAGATTCCACGTAAATGCAGGCTTTCAAATTCATTCCACTTTAGCTACTTATATGAATGTTAGCTGCTTTCTGTTAGTCTCTTTCTGCTTAGTGCTGAGAAGTTCACTCTAGAATTTCATTCCTTAACTTGTGTGAATGTTCATCATAAATGCTTTTAGGTGGAATTTATCTATTTGAGATACACCGTATTCTTCGTCCCGGAGGATTTTGGGTTTTGTCTGGTCCACCAGTCAACTATGAGCGAAGGTGGCGTGGATGGAACACAACTGTGGAAGAGCAAAGATCAGACTATGAGAAGTTGCAGGATTTGCTTACTTCAATGTGCTTTAAATTGTACAATAAAAAGGATGATATTGCTGTATGGCAAAAGGCTAAAGACAACAGTTGCTATGATAAACTGGCTAGAGAGAGCTATCCACCAAAGTGTGATGACAGCCTTGAACCAGATTCAGGATGGTACACTCCACTCCGTGCTTGTTTCGTGGTTCCAGATCCCAAGTACAAGAAATCAGGTCTCACATACATGCCTAAGTGGCCTGAAAGGTTGCATTCTACACCTGAAAGGGTCACATCTGTTCATGGTGCTAGTACCAGTACTTTTAGTCATGATAATGGCAAGTGGAAAAAGCGAATTCAGCACTACAAGAAGTTGCTGCCTGACCTTGGAACTGACAAGATAAGAAATGTCATGGACATGAACACAGTTTATGGAGGTTTTGCTGCATCTTTGATCAATGATCCCTTGTGGGTCATGAATGTGGTCTCATCTTATGGTCCAAATACACTCCCCGTGGTTTTTGATCGAGGCCTTATTGGAACCTTCCATGACTGGTAATTTTCATGTTTTAATTATGAACCATAATTTTCTTTATTTATGAATGTACTTATTTTTCTTATATCATATGGTATGGTATTGATTTTAAAACTTTATTTTTTGGTAGGTGTGAAGCTTTTTCTACCTATCCTAGAACATATGATCTCCTTCATCTTGATGGACTCTTCACGTCAGAAAGTCACAGGTGACTATATCAACTCATTTACTCTCATTAGTAACATAAATATGTACTTACTCTAAACTTTAGTTTTGGATTGCTCTTAACAATGGTTGTTGCGTAGCAGATGTGAAATGAAGTATGTGTTGTTGGAAATGGACCGAATTCTAAGACCTGGTGGGTATGCTATCATTCGAGAGAGTACTTATTTTGTTGATGCCATTACAACCATTGCCAAGGGAATGAGATGGGGATGTCGCAAAGAAAACACCGAGTATGGTGTTGGCAAAGAGAAGATTTTGATATGCCAGAAAAAGCTATGGCAGTCATCAAACAAAGGTTCAAGATGACAAACTCTGAAATCTGTTCAGTGGTGAGCAGGGGTGACTAGAATCGTAATTCCAAAGGCAGAAACAAAGGGAAACGAATTCAGAACCCCTCTCAACAAAGATTGATTCATTCTATGATATAGACGCCAAGAATATGTAGAAGTTTAAATTTTTCAAGTGAAGAATTGGTAACTCAATAATCTGATTTTGTTAAGTTATATAGAAATTTTTCATATAGATAATATTCTTTATAAGGCATCAATTGTATCAGGTACCCCCTCACGTTTGTCTATTTTTTTGTTGTGTGATATCCATGTCACGAAATGAGAGTTTTAAATCCTACACAAAGCATATGATATGCTATCTACTAGAGGATGATACGTTCTCTATCACTGTTACATTAATACAGTAGAGAAATGCTTGTAATATATTTTTTAGTTATTAGTTAAAATTTATTAAAAATTATGCAAATTTTGTTTTTAATTTATTTTTTTAATTTAATAATTCATTTTTCTATTTTTATAAATTTTAATTAATAATTAAAAGTGTGTTATAAAAAAGTAAAAGGCTGTGAACTTAACATCATCTTACACACTGAACCTTTGTAATTCAATCGGTTTACTAATGAATGTTGCATCACACTACACTTTATGTCTTGTTCTGTTACTGTTATTCTGATGTCATTACAATTATAAATAACTTTAAGCCTTATCCTTCTCCATCATCAACATGAATATCTCACTTTATTAAATGTACCTTTCCATCATCATTTTTACATTTTCCGATAATAGCATTGATTTGTTTTGTTTAATCTTCCATATCGTCTGAGTAAACGGTAACATTTTGGCGCTGATTTATTTTTAATTATTTCCGCTAGATCTTTTCACGCTTTTCGGATACAAGATTGATGAGAGATATCAATGTCTAGTGTCAACAATCTATAAAAAAGGAATATTACATATCGAGAGACTTGAAATTATTAAAAAGGATTTTATAATTTTTATTTAGATTGATTATTTATTGTATTTTGCGTTCCATCAGTTTAAAATATATGCTGCATATATTTTAAACTTTTCATTCAAAAGTTCTTTAATTTAATAATATACGTTGAGTACACTGAATATACATGTTATGAGAATTTCTTTTTCTTCATTACGAAGGAATAAAAGCACATGCACGGAACCTAGATGTTACAAAGGGAGCACAGGTGCAGTGTCAAAGTATTTTTCACATTAAAAATTAAAATAAAAAAACATATTTTTTCACAAATGAGAGGGCCAAAATATTTTAACATGATAAATTATGATGGAAAGTTTTTGTGAAGTAAAAAGGGAAATTCATAGCGAAGATGGAGAAATACATGGTTTGAAGATTCGAAGTGTTTTGATTCTTGGCTTGACTTTAGCAGAACCAAAACAAAAACGCACCACATGGCAAAGGAAGAAAGGATCAATGTACATTATCTTTCTTGCCATGGCTCACCAATTGTCAATTCAAATAAATGACCCTTACTTTTTCATTCCAACAACCCAACACTAGTTGTCAAAGCAAATTAATAATGTTCAAATCATTACAAAAAGATCCTTCGTTTCCATTTTCCACCACTGTGCATGAAATTCTGATCCACTCATTTTTAGCTCTCTTATCCATATCATTACTATTTCCTAGTCTAGAATCATAATCATCTCCAAATTTGCATTCCCTCAATCTCTTGTTTCTGCAAATGGCTGAGGCTTTACTAGGAATTGTGATTGAAAACTTGCACTCTTTCATGCAACAACAACTTGCAACATTTTGGAGTGTAGATCAACAAACTGAAGTGCTTTCCAGAAACCTCGAAGCAATCCATGCTGTCCTCAAAGATGCTGAGGAAAAGCAAATAACCAACCATGCCTTGAAGCATTGGTTGCAAAATCTCGTAGATGCAGCATATGTGCTTGATGATACCTTGGATGAATGTTCAATACAATACAAAAAGCTAAATTGTGAAGGACAAAATTCTGGGTCTGCACCATTCATAGCTTGGTTTCATCCTCGCAACATTGTATTTCGTTGTTCTATTAGTAAGAGGATGAAAGATATCACCCGAAGATTTCATGAAATTGAGGATGAGAAGAGAATGTTTGAATTGCATGCAAGTATCACAGAAAGGCAACAAGACGATAATGATGAATTGCGCCAAACAATCTCTACCAATGCTGAACCCAAAGTATATGGAAGAGACCAAGATATAGAGCAGATTGTGGAGTTTCTTCTGGGTCATGCTAGTAACAATGAAGACCTCTCCATCTATCCCATTGTTGGTATGGGTGGAGTTGGGAAAACAACACTTGTTGAACGCGTCTTCAATGATAAAAGGGTAAGCAAAAATTTTGACTTGACGATTTGGGTTTGTGTTTCTAATGATTTTAGTGTGAAGAGGATACTAATATCCATCATAGAATATTGCACAAGAAAAAATCCCAACCTCTCATCTTTGGAAGCACTGCATAAGGAAGTTCAACAAGTGTTGCATGGCAAAAGGTATTTGCTTGTCCTAGATGATGTGTGGGATGATGATAATTTTCAAGTCAAGTGGGAGAAGTTGAAGAGTTCGTTGCAGTGTGGAAGTGGAACAAAAGGTGCTTCAGTTTTGGTCACTACTCGACTTCAGAATGTGGCATTCATTATGAGAACAAATGACTCGGTTCATCAGTTGACAGGCTTATCTGAGAGTGATAGTTGGTCATTGTTCAAACACCGTGCATTTGGACCGAATAGAGAAGAAACTGAAGAGCTTGTATCAATTGGCAAAGAGATAGTGAGAAAATGTGTTGGTTCTCCTCTCGCGATCAAAGCACTAGGAAGCCTTTTGCACTTTAAAAGAGACATAAAACAATGGCAGTGTGTAAATGAAAGTAAGTTTTGGGGCTTACCTGAGGATAACTCCATCATGCAAGCTTTGAAACTAAGCTACTTTAATTTGAAATTGTCATTGAGGAGATGCTTTTCATTTTGTGCACTTTTTCCTAAAGATTTTGAAATCAATAGGGAAGAATTAATTCATCTATGGATGGCTAATGGGATGATTGAATCTAGAGGAAGTTGGGCGGTGGAGGATGTTGGTAATGAGATGTGGAATGAATTATACCAAAGATCATTTTTCCAAGAAGTAAAGACTAATGTGTATGGCATCATTACAAGTTTCAAGATGCATGATCTATTTCATGATCTTGCCGAGTCTATCATGGGTGAAGAATGTATGATTTCTGAGCATAGAAGGTTGACTAATTTGTCAAAGAGACTTCATCATTTGCATTGCTTAAACTCTAACGAGTCAATCAATATGGTAGCCTTTAAGAAAGTTGAATCCTTGAGAACTTTTCTTGATTTTGATTCGGATATGTCACGTGAAAATTTTCGTCGGTTGCCATCAAACAATTCTCTCCGAGCATTAAGGACGAGCACTTTTCGACTATCACCACTGAAGAATTTATCACATTTGAGGTATTTGAATCTTCGTAAGAGTTGGATCACAAGCTTGCCTAATTTTATATGTGGGTTGCAAAAATTACAAATATTGAAATTGGAAGATTGTGAGTACCTTTATTGGTTGCCCAAAGACTTAACACGATTACAAGATTTAAGACATCTTGTGATTAATAGATGTTATTTAATAGTAGAGATGCCTCCCAAAATTGGCGAGTTTAAGCATCTAAAAACATTGAGCACTTTCATTGTGGGTTCAAAGCAGGTTTTGGGTTGGTTGAGTTACACGATTTACAACTAGGAGGCAAGCTACATATCAGAGGCCTTGAGAATGTCCCTAATGAATGGGATGCTCAACAAGCTAACTTGATTGGTAAGAAGGAGTTGAATCGCTTATACTTGTCATGGGGTAGTAATGCTAATTCTCATGGTAATACTAATGTTGACCCTCAAAGAGTACTTGAAGCTCTTAAGCCTCCCCCTAATCTCAAGTGTTTTGGGATGAAGGGATACAAGGGAAGAGAGTTGCCTAGTTGGATGAGAAATACCTCGCTTCTCAAAGGCTTAGTTGAAGTTCTTCTCTATGATTGCAATAACTGTGAGTGGCTTCCTCCACTTGGTAAATTACCATGTTTAAAAACTCTTTTCCTATCCGGAATGAAAGATGTAAAGCACATAGATGATGATTCATACAATGGTATGGAGAAGGCTTTTCCATCCTTGGAGAAACTCACCATGCGGGGTTTACCAAATTTGGAGAGAATGTTGAGAAATGAAGGAGTTGAAATGCTCCCACTTCTTTCCCAATTAAGCATTTGTGGCATTTCCAACCTTAAATTACCATGCCTTCCAAGTGTTGAGCACCTTATAGCTGGTAGCATTGAGGACGAGGCTTCTTTCATGCAAGGGGTTGTGGCAAATATGCCTTGTCTCAAGACCATGCATATTACAACCTTTAAAAAGCTCAACGTATTACCTGATGAACTTGGCAAGCTGAGCTCACTAGATGAATTGTTCATTCAACATTGTAATGAACTTGAGTCCTTTACTGAGCATGCATTACAAGGTTTAAGTTCTCTTCGAAGGTTGGATATCTGTAACTGTGAGAAATTAAAATCCTTATCTGAAGGTATTGGACACTTGGCTTGTCTTGAGAGTCTTACAATCTACGAGTGTCCAAAGTTGGTGGCTCTGCCTAGCAATATGAACCAACTAACTGCCCTTAGACAGGTCACAATCATTGGCAATTCATTACCAGAGGGCTTACAACGTATCCCTTCCCTACAAAGGTTGCTCATAACAGGAAATCCTGGTCCAACCTTGTTGCCAGATTGGTTGGGAAACATGACTTCTCTAAAACAAATAGAAATCACTATGTGTACGGAGTTGAGGTCACTACCAAGTAGCTTTCAACACCTTACCAATTTGTGTAAATTGAGCATTTTTAATTGCCCTCAGCTGGAGAAGCGGTGCAAGAGGGAAACAGGAGAAGATTGGCAATATATAAATCACGTTCCACAAATCCAACTTACTTCAACAGAGAATATTACTTTCCCATTTTGTGGTAAATTCATAAATGCGGCCTTTCTTGGATTTATATCCTCTAGTGTTATTATATGAGAAAAAGACACAATTTTTATTAAATAAGGACTCACCATGAAGTTAAATTTGATCAAAATTGTGCTTTTCTCCGTTCAACATATCATATTGTGTTATTCAATGAGAGGATCTAAATTCATCTTCTCCCTAGGCTATCAAACTTATATATCATGATATTTGAAATATTTTGACTATTGGGTGCAGAGAATATTCAATTGGCATGGAAGTTATCCAAGTTTGGGATATTGTTTGCTGTAAATTTATTGCGTCACGGTTACACTGAGGAAGATGGATTTGATTCAATGGTTGATGTGTGAGTCAAGAATTGCATGCTATATGCTGAACAATGTGAGCACTGCAACATGTCTCTTTCTTTTTAAAAAATGAATATTTGTATCTTCTAGTAAACTTCCAAACAAAAATAAATAACGAAAGTACTACTTTTATTATTAGATCATAAGTGCCCCATTTATGGATTCAAGTTCTTTAGGTAAGTCTGAAAACCTGAGCTACTAAATAATTTAAATTTACCCGAAAGCATGTCTCAATTTTTTTGTGTCACTAATGAGATTCACCAATATGTGTTTTATTCATTTTGTGTTGGTTTCAATCAATCATCTCTTATTCTATAGTGGCAAGATGTGTGCTTCAATTACTTCAACATGTCTAATGAAACTCAATACTTGGCCCTTTTGCAATTTTTGATAAGTAAGAAGAGGATTACCATCTAAAACAGACACAGTGTGAAACAATTCTTAAGCTAGAAAACTGTGCTGCTTTTTCCTCCATATAAATTAGTCTTATCGATGGTCTTTTTAACCAACTTCTAGTTTTAAGGACTTCTTCATTTTTCTCATTTTTGAAATGCTTTATAAATAATATTTTTCAACACGGACCATACTACAAAAAGGACTTCACTGATGCCCAAAAATATAAAGCCTAAAGGAGCAAAGTGTATTTTACCATACAAGCCTATGCAATTCAGGTATAAAGTGTATCTTACCTTTAAAAAAATATGCTACTGTTACCACTAGCCATTTTACACGTCAGACATATATACGAAAATTAAACTTCAGAATTGTTTACAACACTTGTATCCTTTACCACATTTATCCTTGGTTTGATAGTTATGCATCATGGTCTTATGGCATTGTTTGGCTTATCTGGACTTAAAAATTCTCTGCTCTCTCATACTAAACAAAATTGTTTATTTATCCTGGCTTAGGTGGCAATGTTGGAATAAGCACGAGTCAATCGGAAGATGATTTTCCATTTCCAATTTCATTCCAAACATGAACTAATGTATTCTACTCCACATATTTGAAGAAGCATCTTTTGCTACTACTCGGTGCTTGGAAACACCTCCACTCTATGGGTCTCAACTCCAAACAAAGGGGCAATGTAGCTAAAGTGAAACTTCTCCTCGTACATTGTCAACTTAATTACATGAATTGGGGTTGCGTGCTGATAAGGTGGTAGTGGCTGAAACCTTAGTCAGAACGGCATGGCTTGGTTATTTCTATAGTAGTCCTATGATTATTACTGTGACTGTTGGTAATAATTTTTAGCTTTTAAAATCTCATAAAGGTGTATGTCTACTAAGATAAACTATAAAAGTTTTTTCATAATAACTTGTTCTGTATTTTTCTAATTTCTCTTCCTATCTCTTATACTATCAAAATTTTAGTGAAAAAAATAATTGAAGACACAGCATAAAAATTAATAAATAACTTGTTAGTTTGAAGAAAAGATAAATAATATGCGTTGGCCATTGTAAATTTGTTACAAATAATTATAAATTAATTATGTTTTTTGTTTATATAAATATTAAATATTTTATAATGAGTTTTTATAAAAAAAATTAGAATTTAATTCTTAAAAAGTTAAAAAAATTAAAATTTAATCTCCAATATTAATTTTGTTTAGTGTAACACTTAGATGTGACAAGCTACCTAGTTTAGTTTAATAATATTTTATTATTTAAAATTAATATTTATAATAAACTTCTAATTATATATTCTATATTTATAAATAAATCTTCTTTTCTTTTCTCTTTTTTACTCTCCACCCTAACTCCTTTCCTTCCTCCTGACACCTACACTCACAACCACCACTCTACTCTCACCTCCTCTCCTTCTCTCAATCCACACTCACAATTCCAACTCCACCGCTTCTTCTACTCTACACCTACAACTTCAACCTTATCTTCACCTCCATCCCTTTTTCTTTCTTCATCTTCTACTTACAACTATAACTCTTCCTCCTCTCCATACTCCCATCTCAGGCTCACATTCCTTCCTTTTTTCCCTTCTTGCACCTCAACTTTTTCTTTCCTTTAATTTCACCTTTTTTTTCTCATCTTTAACTCCATATTTTCTCACACTTCTAACTTCACTCTCTTCCATCCTGATTTTCAACCTTACTTTACTCTACAAACCTTCACTTATAATCTCACACTCTTCCTTATCCCACACTTTGCTCCATTTATTGGTTTTGAGTCTTTTCTTTTTCTACCTATGGTTTGTATGGTGTGGTAATAAGAGTTTTTTACAGCAATATTATAAAATAAAAATAAAAATACTCAAATAGAACATTGGCCATTTTATTTATCAATTTTTGAGCAAGATTTTAACATTCAGAATTTGGTTCCCTGCATTTTTTTTTAAATTATATTTTATGTTTTAATATAATAAAATAAATATTATTATTTAAATTATATTTATATATTTATTTTATTAAAATAAATATTTATAAATATTTTATTAGTTATATATAATAAAATAAATTTTATTATTTGAATTATGTTCATATTTTTATATTATTTAAAAATGAATAAAAATAAAAATAATATTAATTTTAAATGTTTACTAAAATTGATTTGACATATTTAAGATAATAAATAATATTTTTGTTTTTTTATTAATAATTAAATTTTTAAAAACTAATTAAAATAATTAAATAATAAATAAATTATTTTAGATAATTTTGAAAAACTAATTAAAATATTTAAGTAATAAGTATATTAGTTTAGATAATAATGTTAATGGTTAGATTATTAATACTTAAAAAATAATAAATATATTTTTTAAAATTAAATAAATATATTAAATATTATTTTGTCTATTTATTTATTTAAATATGTAATTTTGACTTAATATTTTTAAATATTAGTATGATAAAATGATATTTTAAATAAAAAATTTATTTTAATTAAATTAATTTTTTTTAAATGATATTATTTAATATTATAATTTTTAATACCCTAAACCCTAAAACATTACTATTATAATTTTGAATAAATTTTATTTAAGAATAAAAAATATATTTTTAAAAAGTAAATAAAATATTAAATTATAAGTTAATTATTTATAGTTGAGACAAATATTTTGAAATAAATGTTTTTATGTTACTAAGGTAACATTGATAAAGACAAAGTGTATTAATAAAGATGATAACAAATTCATAACAATATTAATAATTAACTATCTCCGTAATGGTGGCCAGTTCCGCAACAAGGGTGACGTCTGTGACGTGGTAGGTTTCATCGTTGTGGTTGTTGCTCTGAGATTTCAGGATGAACTTGTGGAGGATTTTGATCATCTTCGGTCTAGTTGTTAGAATGCATTTGATGAATTACCATGTTCATTAGCAAAATTCGATTGGTAAAGAGACTACATATAAGTTTGTGTTGAAGATGGAATTGTAAAATCAACTCTAAATAAGTTTGTAAAAAACTCCTCCAACGTAGTTGCAAATGAATGTCTTGTATTAATTATGTTTGCTTCTGACGTAATGTTTGGAGGAGTTGATGCAGTCTCGTGGTACGATAGTGTGGAAGTCGTACCGATTTCAAATGTGTTGGTAGTCCTTAGTTGTTAGTCGCTTTTCCTTGGATCTTGTAGTAGTGGTGGCACAGATAAGAAATAAATGGAATTAGCAATGTACCATTTCATGTATTGTTGTGTGTGACATAATAAGCCTTGCATTGGATGACCCGTTATTGTCAGCTCACGTCTGTTGTTCCATATCTCAATCCATTGAGAATGTCTTGTAACTCAATTTTCATTCTATCTTCCTCTCATGTTAATTTTGTGGAGGTCATTAAAATTATTCGTTGGAGAAAGGACTTCTTGGAAGAGACGAAACTGTAATTTGACTGTATCTGTTTGGTGTCATTCAACAATTTCAAAACAAAGAATGACGGTACATGAAGTCCACAGTTGGACATCTCTATATGCTTCTATGGGTATTGATGTTTGCAAGTCTTGACATGACGCCCATAAAAACTACAAATATATCTAACTTTATTACTTAAGATGATGTGTAAAAGATAAGAAAATAAATATGAAGAGTTACCTGATTAGCTTAAATGTGATCAAACATTGATCTGTACCCAATAACATCATTGTGAGGTTTATTTTGAAAGTTTAGTACTATACCTCTGCTCCATCTGCACACGAGAGGGTATGTTGATGGATTACTAGAAATTGGCGCAATATATGTCATGCGATACCATGCCCAAGACATTAACAGTGATGAGCAATCACCCATTATTTTGCTACCAACTTCCGTGACTCTGCACATTTCCCTGTACAACATAGCTAAACAAGCAGAACCCCAACTATATCGTCTTGTTCTTCTAAGATCAGTTAATAAAGCTAAATACATAAGATGTACTTTGTTGCCTGTTTTGTCAGGCATGAAAATACCTCCAATTAAATATAGTATATAAGCCCTACAACAGGCGTGAACTTCTTCTTCAGATGATTTTTCTGGTAATGGCAACATGTTGTCTTTCAACCACTTCAGTTTTAGCATAGAGCCAATAAGTGACTCTCCCTTGACTGGCAAGATACCGAGATATGTGTCACACATTTCCTCCCAGTCAAACATTGTTGATAAACCATCAACTCTTAGCCCAAGTTGAAGTGCAACATCCTCTAGGGTTATGGTGCACTCCCCTGTTGGAAAATGGAAAATGTGAATTTCAGGTCTCCACTTCTCGACCAAATATGTTATCAATGCGTGATTCACCTTAAGATGCCTTAGCTTTGCTACCCTAATAAAATCAAGTTGTTCAAGTATAGGAACAATTAGAGGACTGGGTTCTGGCATTGAATGACAGAAAGATGAAATCATGTTTTCAGTTTCTTGCAGTTATTAATAAATTAGTAACATTATATGTAGAATATTGATTTACATATTCAGTTAATAATGGTAATGCATAAAACTTACCGTTCTTCCAATGAAGGCGGACCTGTGTTCGTTTTACTTCCAGAACAACATTTTTAGTAATGGGAGCAAAGACAAAGAGAAACGAAGAACAAAGATGGATGCAAGTTTGAATGAAAACATGTGGCATTGAATGAACATATTTATAGATAAACTTTGGTATGATAGAGTAGCCTTGGAATCTTGAGAAGTCACTATCCATTGGTCTGCGTGAAAAGAGAGGTTATTATCCCTTGGTCTTAGTGACTGAAAGGTCACTATCTCTTGGTATGCGTGACCAAGAAGATTATCCCTTAGTCTGCAAGAGAGGTCATTGTCCCTTGATTTTAGTGACTGAAAGGTCATTATCTCTTGGTGTACGTAACTGAGAAGTCACTATCTCTTAGTCTGCGTGACTGAGAAGTCACTATCCCTTAGTGTACATGAATGGAGAGGTCACCGTTACTAGTACAATGTGGTGAAGCATCGAATGACTGAGAATTCAACGTTACCATTATAAATAGCCTTATAAGGTATTCATTTTATTCATTCAACCTTTTAAGCTTGTTCCTTGTTCTTGTGAACCTTCTCCTTCTGAAAATGTCTTCAATTTATGTCATTGTTCATTCTAATGGTGCCATTAACCAATGTCCTAATGAGAGTTTTTTCTATTATTGGGGTAATTTTAAAAAAAAATTATCAATATAGGTTTTTTCAAAACAAATTCCCTATCTAGGATGGTTGCACTAAAGTCGTCCAGAAAAGAGACGACACAGGTGATGACGTGACATCTTATGAGAGTGTCGTCACATTACTAGCTGAGACTAATGACCTGACCGGTCTACGTGGCATCAAAGTCGTCCAGAAAAGAGACGACATACTTGATGACGTGGCATACTATTGACAGTGTCGTCCCATTAGTAGACGAGACTAACAGGAAGCTGACACATGTCGCATTAGAAACTGCGTCGTTCATTTTAGGACGATTTTGGTAACGTCCATGTCAAGTACGACTCCAATGCCATCCGCTTCAACCTGATTTTTATGCTACCGCTAGATAAAAGTTTGATACATCCTTTTGTCCAAATTTAGAGGCCTATAAATACTGAAATTTATCACAACAATCGTGCAACTAAAAGAGAAGGTAACTGTGAAGTTTTCAATCAGGTTAGGTTTATTAAGCATTATGAATATATTTTAAATTTATTAGTTATTAAAAAAAATTTATTTTAAAGTTTTTTTATTCAGAAAATTAATAATATTTTTAGTGTTAATGTTGTAAATAATTTTGTTTTGTTATGTTTGAAAATAATAAAATATAATGTTAAAAAATAATTATTTAAATATGTGTAATTGTAATTTAATTTTTAAACAAAAAATTTTTTATATTAAAAATTAATTATTTTGATGACCAATTATTTTGAATGCAGGATGAATGAAATTATTGTTATATTATATTCAAATGGTAGAATATATAAACGAAATGATGGTATAATTTTTGAAGGGGAGAAAAAGATTATTAAGATAGAACGTGGAATTATAGTTGAGATGTTTAAAAGGAAGATCCATACAAAATTGAAATTGTCTAGTAGTCATGTAATTTCTAGACTAATTTCACGAATTTTAGTTGAAATAAACAGTGGATGCCGTACAACTTTGGATATGTATGATGATGAAGACATAGATTGTATGATAAGTGCGTGTCAACAATCACATCAGAGGAATATAGTTGAGATATATGTCGATGTTGCGGTCGGTCAAACATCTTTTGTGACACATCCATTAGAAGTAAATTTATCACCCTCACATGTTCATGTAAGCGATGACGATGATTATGCAATAAGAGAAGGTAATATGATTTTAATAAATTTAAAGTTTTAAAATTGATGTTACAAATACTATTAATAATATAAGTTTATAATGTAGGATCTACAGATGAAGATGAAGGAGATATTTCATTAAATAGTTTTTCTGATACTGATTTAGATGATGAATTTGATTCCATGATCAATATCGACAATGATGCAAGAGTTACCTCAACACAACAACATGGAGGTATGATTTTAGATTATTATTTAAAAAATAGATTTTCATATGTGATATGTAATATATAAATCGTTACTGAGGGTGTAAATTTCATGGATGAATTGTTGTAATACAGAAACAACATTGTATTTTTAGAATATAATCCCACATTACACTCATATTAATTGGGAACACTATGATCAAGAATTAGATTTTCTTGAATTGAATGACTCACAATCATGGAAGGAAGGAGATGCATTATATGTTGGGCAACTATTTGACACTAAAGAAAATGTAATAATAGCTATAAAACATTATGCCATGAGGAAACATCAAACTTTTTTTGTAGTGGAATCAAAAGCAACAACATATGTTGTGAAGTGTGTCAATCACAATAGTGGATGCCCTTGGAAAGTAAGAGCATCGTTGTCAAAAAATGCAGAGAAGTGAAAAATTACGAAGTGGGGAGGTGCTCATACTTGCGTACATACTTTAATTTCTCAAGACCACCAAAAATTAGATTCTAAATTTATTTACTCATGCATTCTTGGTATGTCAAATTTTAAATTGAATATTATTATTTTGAAATAGGCAATAATATATTAAATTTCATCGTATTACATATAATACTTTCCTACTAATTGAAATACTCCTTTATGTAGGTATGGTGAAACAAAAATCATTAGTGCTTATTTCATTAATTCAAGAGAGAATTAATGGTCAATTTGGATATTCAATTTCCTATAAGAAGGCATGAAAGCAAAACAAAAGGTAATAATTATTGTATTTGGTGATTAGGATGAATCTTATGCTGCATTGCCAAGATGGTTAGAGTATATGCAATTACATGCTTCTGGATCTGTATACAAAATTGAAACCAATGATTATGTTCAAAGTCATGTTGTGGATAATAGATATCGAGTTTTTGATCGATTGTATTGGTTGTTCAAGCAATGTCATGAAGCTTTCAACTTTTGTAAGAATATAATATAGGTAGATGGAACATTTTTATATGGTAAGTACCGCCAAACGTTGCTAATTGCTACGACTCAAGATGGAAACAACTGTGTGATTCCCATTGCATTTGCCATTGTGGAAGGAGAAACATTATCTGCATGGAAATGGTTCTTAGCCACAATTTGTCTAAATGTGACAAATAAGGCAGGCCTTTGTTTGATTTCTGATCGGCATCAAAGTATAAAAGGTGCAGTCTCTAACCCACATGTTGGTTGGCAACCTCCAAATGCTTATCATGTTTACTGCATTCGTCACATTGCAAGCAATTTCAATCGACAATTCAAAAATACCATTTTGAAGAAGAAACTGATTCAATTAGGTACATTTTTACACAATACACAAATTAATGTAATTAATATTTAAAAATAAGTTATTTTGTGCACCTGTGCAGCAGCCTGATTTCTTGGATTTGGATCCTCTTCTTCACGAACAACCGCCTCACCCACTCAGCCCTAAATCTCTTACCTGCACTCCATTTCAAAGCCACATGTATGTCATCTAAATAAAAATAATATTTAAAAACAAAATACATTGACATTATTATTATTTTGCCTTTTATAAGATATTTTCTCACACAAAACAGATTCTGGATGCCAACAAATTTCAAATGTTGCTGTGTTTTCTTTGTTTGGTGATTTTGCAAATGAACGATGCAGTCTGGGAACATGAACGAGCAAGGAAGAAGAAAGGGCCTCCGCGTAATGCAAACGGTCAATTTGGTAAGCCACGTGGAACAATGGTGTTATTGTCGTCCCTGACCCAATCGACAACACAGTCGGCACAAATCTAGACGACTCTCTACGAGTATGCCACGTGTCTTGTTTATTCCCTAACCGTTGATCAAATTTTATTCACTTAATTTTTTTTTTCATTTTTAGTGTCATCCTGCTTTTGGACGACTCTGATGTCAGCTGACATTCCCCACCCCAGACTGGGAATTTGTTTCGTTACAACCCTATTTTGATAAAAAAAATTTAATTACCACAATATGGCAAAAAAACTCTCCTAATGAAGGAGTCACGTTCACCTCACCATCAACAAAATTAGTACATCTAAAGAGAGGAGTGACTCTACAAAGGTTCAAGAAAGTCATCCACACAAAATTTAACCGAGACTCAAATGAAAGGGTGACAATTATACATTTTCGCTACCCAATTAGACTTGGCTCGGGAGTTAGCAACTACACATGTGTTGAGTTGAACGATGATGAAGACGTCGAGACACTCTTCAACATCCACGATCAGATATAAAATTATATGTTACATTTGATACAAACGTAACCCAGCCACCGCAACTTTCACCTTCATCTTCACCTTACCAAACTTACAAAACCATAAATCCATCTTTTCCAACATATGATATGAACTCCAACCGTCAGTCTTATACACATGCATTGATAGTTTTGCCTTTTGCAAACCAATTGTTCAAGTGGATGGAACATTTTTGAATGGTAAATACAAAGGGACTTTATTAGTGGCAGTTGCGCAAGACGGCTGCAACAACATAATTCTCATTGTCTTTTATGTGGTTGAAGGTGAAACCATCAATGCATGGTTCTTTTTTTGAAAAAACTTAAAGAGGTACGTAACCCTGCAAGAGGGGTTGTGCCTCATTTCTGATCGTCACGAGGCCATAAGAAGTGCATACTCCAAAAATGGAAGTGGTTGGACAGAACAAAATTTTGTCAATGTCTATTACATTAGACACATTGCACAAAACTTTATACGATGATTCAAAAATGCTGCACTGAAGAAAGATGTCGTCAATATGGATAACTTTAATTTTTTACATACTCTATATTATCATTAATATTTTATAAAATTGCTTAGCTAATTATGTTAATTTAATTTGTAATCTTGTTTTCAACATATGGGATGACTGAACCG